TCTATTAACCGGCAGTTGACTTCTGACTTCAAACTACTCTAACTAAACTCTGTGTCATATTCCACCAATTCCACAATACTCATCTTACCTTCTTCTCCGCCCTTATGTCTGTCAGTCACTTTTACATCCATGAAACACTCTTCTGTCACTCCCTCACGACTTTTTGTGACTTTGTTATTCGTACACTGAGTGAATCCCAAAGTCAACCAAAGGGTTAATGATAACTATCCTAAACTCTGCCATTTATTACAAATAAATACTTATTTAAAACTGGCAATTTTATCCATCCTGACACTTTAGGCTATTGTTTTGTAGGTCAGAAGGACTTTCCTATTTTTATTTTCGTGGTCATTCAAGCACGACTAATTTTTGAAATTATTAGTAGAAACGTCTGTACCAAACGATTTGAAATTTCTATTTTTATTTTCATCCTTTTAATTAACGACTTATCTTCGAGGGCAATTTAAAAATAGAAATTTCAAATCGTTTGGTACAGACGTTTCTACTAATAATTTCAAAAATTAGTCGTGCTTGAATGACCACGAAAAAATTCGAGCATTTTTTGCCAAAAAATATCGTTCAGTTAACCTCTCTTGAATCCCCTTAGTCCAACATATTCCAAATTGTTAAAATTAATTACAAAAGCGACCATCTTTGTGGAACTGATTTTCAATGTGACTGCAGACGGTAAGTGGTCTATGAGGCCGGTGACGTAGTCATTTGCAAGTACGAAATATCTCTCAACCCGGCGGTGATTAGTCGTTAAAACTCTCCATGGAACGTTTAAAGAACACCTACACGGGGGCGTGGCTACTTGCGCATTCTGGTTCAATGTGATTTCCGCCACATGTGGACGCGAATCCCATTTTTTTAACGAAAGTTTTGGTCCCTAGTACCTAACAGCTCATTACTAAATCACAATCCTTGAGTTACCAATCCAACAAGTTAAGTGATTGAACTCATCCATATCCATCATTTAAGAAAGTTAAGTGAGCTTTAATTAAATCATTCATTCTCCGAACATTTAACTGAGAAACTGCTGGTGCAATTGGAATTCGCGTCAAGTCAACAGACGTTTGGGATTGTGGACAATTAGCACAAAATTTGAATTTTTAATTAAGTACTTTCAAAGCCGTTGCTCTTAAATTTATGCTTTGGCATAAATCAATGCGAGTCATAAAATAGCACCAATATTTATTCACTTGACTGCGATACGTTCACAAAGATGCCTGTTGAAACACATAAATCAAGTCCAAAACGTGCAAAAACAGAGAAAAATGACCAACTAATCTGACAGGAAGTTGGGTCGGCTTTGCACACCAAAATATAACAATTTATGTTTGGTTTTAAAACTATCGGAACTATATATAAAACTCGAGGACAAATTTGCGCAAAATTCAGACAAATGATTCGGTTAGGCTTCCTCATAATACTTCCATTTGCGCTGATCGCCCCAATCAATTCAGTTCCTTTCGAGTGGTTTAAAAAGGTATCAGAAAAAACGAACACATCCCTCGTTATAGACGTAAGTTACGCTAATCTTCCTGATTATTATCCTATTATCATGCAATATGGAAAGTATTTATTTATATCAAATGGCAGACGTTTTGATAGTTATCATTAGCCCTTTAGCTGACTTTGGGCTTCACAGAGGGAAGGAACATCAAAGTAACAGAAAGTCGAGGGATGGGGAACAGAAGAGTGGTTTGCATTTGTAAAAGAGACAGACACAAAGGCAGAGAAAAGGTAGGATGATTACTGTGGAAGTGGTAGAATATGGCATCCAGTGGGGTGATGGTAGTTTGAAGTCAAAAGTCAACTGCCGGTTAATAGACTTTTTTGCCGTATGAGTATACTTTGCCCAGGGTGCAACACGTGGAGGTAAGTCTATCGCACACCCCTTCTGGAAAGTTCATTTTATTATATTATCACACTTCTATTGCATTTTTCAAATAAGTTTAAAGACAATTCGATGTGGAGATATCGTCATCATTCAGAATCAATTTTAAGCTACCTAATTCTCTCCGAAAAAATTACAATTTGTTTTTATAACTGAAATGGTAAATCCTAATTTCGATCAGAGTGACGATTTAAAAAATAAAGCACTAAAGTATGCAATAGGAATTTTCAGTTTCAGTGAATCACACAGATTTCCCATTCATAGAAGGGAAGCACTCTACACTCTCCCCCCTCCCCCCCCCCCACAACCTCCNTAGCCTTGACCCATTATTACTTGCAGCATTCAAAGGAATAGATACGTCAGATTTTCATTAGACTTAAGGTATCACACACGCTCTTGGAGAATGCCAATGTTGGCCAATATCGCCATCAATTTCAAAGCGAAGTGTCTAGTTGATACTCAGTTAAGCTTTTGCCTGTTCATGCAACGGATAAAGAGAGCAAAGATGCTAGTCAAATGAGACTTCTGCTTATTTCCTCTAGGCGTATTATGCAAAATGTCTCGTTGACCCTCCAGACTACCTCACTGCATGCGACACTGTTGCCTACGGCGTGGGACTAACACCAAGGTCAGCGAAGGACTTCGCGCGCTTCTATTCCGTTGCAACAGGCGAACCACATTGCAATAGCTACATCGGACAATGTCTTATTCGTCAATATTGCAGCAAATAGGAGACAATAAACTCATTCACTTACTTATCTTATAGATGTGTCTTAAATTAAACCAATTTTCTATGCATGCATTGGTGTTCAAATAAAGCCTTTTTTCCAAATACCGACCTTGATAACTGCATTGAGCATTCCCCGTTTGGTTGATTTGTAAAAAGCGCTAGAAAGCGATAAAAAAACGTTCTATATAGATGAAATTCTATAGCATTACTACTAAAGAATATTGGCGCGTGTAATAACAGAGAGAGATTAAAAGTGAACTTGTCTAGAAGGGCGCAAGAAACTAAGTAGGGAAGAGAATAAAAATTTGTGATGAATTTCAATTTTTGGATGAGCTTTCCTTCATGTGGTTGAGAGCGCTTCCTGCACGGAACCAATCCAACTGTTTGGCGTTGAAGGTATGAGCCAATTCGATTTCTTCCGTCGAACCGTCGGCATGAGTTAGACGACATCGAACATTCTGAAATCGTAAGCAAATTTGGATCAAATTATTTGACATTTTAGACTCAATTTCAGTGGCGCAGTGGTCACACGCAAGTCTAATAAGCTAGGAATTACAAAATCAATGTCAATTGGAGCATATCCAATAAAAAGGATAATTGATTCGATTAAAAAGAGGGAACGTAAGAGTGGATCTAGGCTTACCCTCGACTACCGAAAAAATGGGTTTCAATGTGTATACCTTAAAGGCCTAGAGTCCAAAAAAGAGATTGAATAAAACAAAATATACGATATGTGAGGGCAGCATAGTGCAGTGTTTTAGAGTCTCTCTGATAAGACACTCCTATTCTGATACTAATTCATACCTCTATGCCTCAGTGGATCTACAATGATGAACACATCTGAGACCACTGACCTATTTCACACATGTACGTTGACAGCTACGACAGTAGGGCAACGCGTTCTGATTTATTATAATGGTTAGCCGATAAGGCACGGTAAATAAAGAACGCGAGAACTTACTCTCCCAGGAGCAAGATTTTTCAGGTCAAGCAAAGAGACCTTGTCCGTTGGTTGAACCTTATCGTAATCTTCCGGATGCACGAAAGTCAGTGGAAGCATACCTTGTTTCTTCAAATTAGTCTCTAAAAGAGGGAAATGCAGAATATGAAGCACACCCTCAAAGTTCCAATCTCATTAAGGAAAAGAAATACCTAGGATCCATTCTCGATAGGCCATAAATGACGTTAATCTTTTTCCATCAAATTTTAAAAAAAGCTTCGAAGGATTCGAGACCTAATTCGCTTCTCATTCTAATTTAAGTGGAGCAAGTAATAAAATAACTCACATTTTATAAATCACAAGCACCAATTTCCCTTTTTTCCTTCTAAATGATAATCCAATGACCGAATAAGGTAAGAAACAAGAGGTCGAAGTAGATAAGACTCATCAGAAGAACCACTTTACATGAGTTAATTTAAAAGGAGAACTAAATGTTCCCGCTCTAGACAAAAAATCAGTCCATTCTCGCCTAATCTAACAACAGGATGTGAAGAGACAGAAAAAAACCAAGGAGTGCGCGACCGATTGTCCTATAGATCAATAAAAATTAAACAAAGGGTAGATGGAGCCTTCGAAATGGGGAAAGAGCTCAAGAACAATGGGCATCAGTTGAGTAGAAATTTGCGGACATAAAAATTAGAAGGAAGTCACTCATTCTCTTAGGTTTTTGAAGTTGGCAATGCTAGAGGGTGGTTAACGAATTAACCCATGAAGAGCGGGTCGAAAAAATACAACCTAACAACACAGGTCTGCCTTCTTGATTGAACAATAATCAGTAACATTCCTTGTCAACAGCAGACCTAATAATGATTTCTCATCTTCAGCTACCAACTTTTCGGTTTTTGCACTCAAAAGGGCCAATAAAATAAAAAGCAAGGTTATTTAAAGCCATCCAGTTAATCACTAAACAGTCTTCTCGTAGATATTGGAGATAGTAGTTAATAGGAAGGCCAAGCACTTATTGGTCGTCAGTAGAAAATACAAAATTGCTCGTATGCGATTCGAACACCAATTCCAATCCAAAGGGATGTGAAACCGCCATCTCACGTAGTTTTCAGTTCCCGACTATCATCGATTGGTGCATTGCTAAAGCGATCATATTCTGGCACATCGAAAATGAAAACCAATTTTCACTGGCCAACCACAGCATAGCGAGATGTTATAAATGCGCAAATAAGCACCGAAAAGTCAAACGTGGCTTACTATGCAAAATGGCAACATAGTCATAGTTGGGGGAAGAGCATTTAAAAATTATCACAATAAACTCGCCATGAATTCTTGCGAAACTCTTGACGATTATCGCTCTTCCTCCAAGATGACGGGGTTCAAGAGCGGCATGCTCCCGACTGCTACCCTCTCCATAGTTGATGTCGCCTATAACAACCCAGGGGATTCCTTCGGCTTTGTATTTGCGAGCCACGGCGGGAACCGTGTCCCATACGCCCGTTGGTCGATGACACACCTTGTTCATCTCGCCATTCTCACTATTCACAGCTCTGAATGGTGGTAGAAAAGAGGAAATACGAATGGATGATTGATTGGAAGAGACACAGATCTGGTGTAATGGTGTATCTGCTTCATGTATAATCTGAAATACCTCGCTTAATCTACTACCTACAAAAGGTACTTAGGATAAGAATCAATTTATTAATTACGGGCATAGGCCCCTTAATTGCCTGGTTACTTAATTTAAATACTTTTTAAAGTAAAAGGTGACAATGAATACTGTGCGAGACTATAAGTTTTCCCACGATGTGAAAAAAAACTGGGAAACTTTAAGGCACCAAAGAATTCTTTAGTTCCACTGAAATGTCATGGTTAAAGCCGATAATGTTGCCAAACCTTGTCACCAAAAGCGCTTACGAAAGTGAGTCAAAATATTCTCAAACAAGTTTCAAATTTTACTTATTTAAAAAGTGATAGTGTTCATTTTTCCATACAGGCTCCATTGTTGTCTACACACTTTTGACACTCACACACACCTCAAGGAAGTTCGTAAAATTGTGAAGTGGGAAACAAGCCACATGCCAGCGTTCTCGAAAAAAAGGGCAATACTTCTATACCATTGACGGGGTCACCACCCTTTAAGAGACTTCCAGTACTCACTTTTCGGGTGCTTAAGATCGCATAAAAACAGTGATATGGATACAATGCAAGCCTCCTCATATGATCGTTTGAAAAGCAACAGCCTATATCCTTGTGAGATGGGAAGTGAAGATAAAAAAGGTCGATTTCGACCTGCCTTCAGGTAATTTGCTGTAACCTGATCGTAGTAATGCATATACAGCAAGTTAGGAACTTCATAAAATTAGGCGATTTTAGACTTTAATTACTGAGGGAAGATGATCGGAGTAACTCACCCAATAAACATATTATTCGAAATGTTGTCCAAATGTCCACGATATTTGAGCCATGGACCTGCTGCTGAAATATGATCAGTAGTACACTTGCCCTTGACTTTAATCAGAATTGGTAATTCAATAAGGTCCTTCCCATCCCATTTGGGAAAGGGAACGAGAACTTGCAGTCGATTGCTAGTTGGAGAGACCACAACTTCCAAGTTGGAAGAGTCAGAGGGAGGAGATTGGAAGTGAGGTTCCACACGTTGGAATCCACCTTTTGGAAGGGTATCACCTGAAGCAAAAAGGAGCCACTAGCAAGCGTTAATCAAATTAATAACGACCTCAAACAGTAGGGCATGTTGCGGCTTAGATTATTTGTTTCAATCTCAATCCCATCTCATCGGGTGTGCAACTAATAACTAAGTAAGTAGTAATAACAAGATCGATTACATCTTTCTCATCAACACACTCCCATCGCAACTTTGTTTCCCTATTTTCAATATCAAACTGCATGAAACTTTATGACCTTTTGCGTAAATTACATCGGGGACTCAAAGCTGATTTCCTGCCTCGGATTGTAAATGCCTTTTATTGAATTATAAAACGAGTCGAGATTAAAAGTAACGTGAGACGTAGATAGAACGATTTTACCTTTCCATGCTTTAATACCAAACACTTGTCATACAAGCAAGCGCTTTAACCCATTCCTGAGAGATTTACAATATCACAACCTACCTTCTGGAGGTTTCAGTTTGAATTTCGATCCATCTGAAGCAGTTAATTCATCAGTGAGTGGATTAAAGCCAAGACTTCCACCTAGGACCATAGCAACCACCATTTCTGGGGAGGCGACGAAACCATGAGTGGCGGGATTTGCATCATTTCGGCTGGTGAAGTTGCGATTAAATGAGGTGACAATGGTGTTCGGCTCACCCTTCTTCTTATCCTAGGAAATCAAACCGATTGTCAAAATCGTTAACGAATCCAAATAGAAAAATCAGAGCCATTCATACTACAAAGGCATTATCTTGCTTATGCGTACTAGTGACACAACATTCAACATATTTGTCAGGGAAACCAAAAGACCACGAGCCAATCGCCATCGATTAAAGGCATGGTCAAGCAAATACCCTAATTCTTGCTAAAAAGGGAAATAGAAACAGGGTTTCCTCATTAGAGAGGCTCAATGAGAGAAGAACTGGAAAATACTTATCTGAATGAGATGGAGAATTATAATCTAATTAATATAGTCAACAATCTTAGGACAGTACTGTCCTTTTTCAAATAATCTCTGTTGATACTTGACTCGCAACAGAAAGTGATATTGTCGTTTGAAACACGTTCAATACGTCTGTAGCTTTCGCCTGATACCCCACCAAAACTCATCACATCGACGCCATCAGTCTGCTGTGAGACTCATGTGAGTTCAGTTGGGTTCATTTTTGGAAAAAAGGTTAAAGGGTTAAAGGAGGCTAAAAAACGTAAGTAAGGGTAAGTTTGAGGTCAGAAGTAGATATGTTGGTAGTTAGAACACATACTAACCGGTAAATAAAAAACAAGAGGAAAAGTGCAAATGCTAGAGAAATTAAAACAAGGCTGCCTATTTTATGGAAGAATATATAGGGTGGGTCTCGACTCATCATACTATGTACTCCATGACTTGGTATACTTGAACGGAGTTTCATCGCTTAACAATTCGGGGATATTTTAAGAAATTGGATCATGAAACACCAAATGTCAAATGAGATAGGCTGTTTCAACTTGCCTTAAGTTGTTACAAAGCAAACAAATACGTAAGGACAATATGAGAAAAATAACCAATTAAGTTGATAGACGGACTCACTTTTCGATCCCATTGGCCAATGCAAGGCCCACAGGCATTAGCCAATACGACACCGCCAATTTTGCGGAAAATGTCGGCTAGTCCCGTCTTCTCGATAGTGGCGTGAATTTGTTCGCTTCCCGGAGTGACTGTGAGCTTCGATGGAGGCTTAGTTAATCCATGATCGATGGCTTGTTTTGCAATACTTGCCGCCCGTGCCATATCTTCGTAAGATGAGTTGGTGCAGGAGCCTATCAATCCAACGGAAATTTCCATTGGCCAACCAGCTGCTTGAGCGTCAGATGCTAGCTGAAAGGTGAATATCGGGTTTGTTTTACAAAAAGAGAAAATGAAAAAGAATTTTATAAAGTTATTACTACTTATAAATACCTTGAGTAGAAATATGGTAAACAATAGGATATTCGTAACTTACAACGCAAATATTAAATTTTTAAAGATTGCCTAAGGAACATGCGTGTGAGTGTGGGACACTTCACCACGGGCGCGCACACTAGGCTTAAGGTGCGGCCGTGCAACCTCGCACACGGATTGGTTGCGGAGAAGCACAGGAAATGACCAATAGAAATTCTGCTACAGAACACTACTCAGAGATATTTAGCCATTAATGTTCACTCGAATTATGCTAGATTTATCGGATAACTAATCGTTTTGCCAAAATGAAAATTCGCTATCAATATACGTACTGAATAAACGTGCTCCGTGCTACACGTCTGTTTCCTCTCATAGCTGGGCTATAGCTTAGCTGGTTCTGGGAGTCTAGCTAGATGTTGGAGAATCTGCCATAGAGATTTCTGAGTCGATCAGGCTTTACTAGCGTAGCAATCCGCTACATGAGCAAAAAATACATTTCTTACTTTGATAAGCGCAAGCACATCAGCGCGGATGTTGTTATCGTGCAAAACATAAGCTGTGAAGGAACAATGGAAGACAGAAAACTGGGTTAATTGTCAATCTTATAAGCCTGTGGTGTTTATTAAACGAATATTCACCATATTAATTAAAGTCAGAGATTTAAATTGAATTTTCATATAATTCCAAAGGTGGAATAGCTTGTAATCAAACAATGAGATCCTTAAGCACAAACTTGATTATATCCCAGTTAACTTTAGTGGTGGAGTTACTGATCACTAAAAGAATTATATTAGACTGATGAACGAGAGAAATAGAGAATTCAGTTTAAAATATTCAAGCTGCATATAGCAAATATTTTTAGTTGTTGTAGTCTGAAAGTCAAAATCTAAGGATGATAAACTTTAGGACTAGGATTGACCTACCGTTTCAAGGGAATCAGTTGAAAAGTGGGATTAGATGATAAAGTGCAATCACGTAAAATATATCAGAATGTTTTGCTTACGCTCACAAGATATCAAAAAATATCACATGTCAATTGGCAATAGTATTTCATAGGCAAATATACAAATACAGAAATATGATTAATCTCATCGCTTTCAGACAACGAACATCAATAGGATGAAGACTGAAAGATGCATTTTCAAAATCATACGACATTATTAAAATGTTTACTGTATCGAAACTCCCGTCAAGAAATACAAAAGAAAAGTCCAATGGGGAAAGACAAGTTCAACAAAAAATTTAAAAAAATTAGTGATAACGATTTTAATTGCTTTTAAAGAATATAATGTGAAAAGAAAGAGTTCACAGTAGAGCTTCAAATCTAAATATCTCCGGATGCAAACTTTTAAATAAGAAAAAAAATGAACCACTTACTCTAGAGATTGGATGCGCCAAATCAGGAGTGTACGGTCCATTCAAGTGAGGCTCGAGCTCGGATAAGTTAATATTAATAACTCGGTCGTAGGTACAGCCCTTGTCTGGTGAAAGTAAAGACGTCTAAAAGGTAAAAAAAACCTTAGAGATGCATTGTCGAAGGGAACTGAAAGGGGGTTTGCAGAGCTGGAGAAACCAATTCGGAAGAAAGTGAGATAATTTAACGCATTTTACACTTCATGAAAACTAAATTAAAAACATTTCATTTGGTGAATATTTCAAGCACAATGCACATCATAATGCGAATTAATTATCTTCATGGTTTTAAAGTATGCTAGTCGCAAAAAAACCATTAAGTTCTACCCTCGTCTAATCATCAGTTCACCAAGACTTACCTTTTTTACCATTGTTTGTTATTCAAGTTGCACTCCAATTTCATAGACTTAGTATGCTATGTTTATAGCAGAACGATTTGTAAAAATATTCCTGTAACTATTCGCGATTGGAAGAACACAAAGCCTTACATTCCAAAAACAAAAGCTAGAGATATCAAAAAATTCATCCACAAAAGAAAAATCTATGCGACTTGACTATTTCAGATTTAATTAAGGCAAGATAAATAAAAATGATCAAATAGAAGCCGAGAATGAAATCAAGATAACAAGAGGAACTTGCCTTGTAATTTTTAGCCAAATCAGCGATATTCTTCCTTCCAGTGGCTTCCAAGAAGTCGACCATACGATCATTGAAGGGGAACACAGAAGTGGTAGCACCAATCTCCGCTCCCATATTGCAAATAGTGGCCATTCCGGTGCAGGATATTGATTCAACCCCGGGTCCAAAGTACTCAATAATGCATCCTGTGCCTCCTTTCACTGTTAGTATATCCGCAACTTTTAATATAACGTCCTTTGGAGAAGTCCAACCTGACAAGCTACCCGTCAATTCAACTCCAATTACTTTCGGACATTTGAGCTCCCAGTCGAGCCCAGCCATCACATCTACAGCATCTGCACCTCCAACACCCACACAAAGGCCACCTAAACCTCCTCCGTTTGGAGTATGACTATCTGTTCCAATAATCAATGCCCCTGGAAAACAATAGTTTTCCAAAACAATCTATAACCGAGTGAATCAAATTCGATCTCAACTAACCTGATGAATAATTCCAGAGCCAGGGTGCCAGAATCCAATTCCAAATTTAGCCGAGGCTGAGGAGAGAAAATCATAGACTTCTTTGTTAGTTGATTCAGCATTGGCTAAATCCTCTGCACCGCCATCACGAGCCACGATGAGATGGTCACAATGAACAGTAGATGGAACAGCAACTCTAGGAAGACCACTGGACATGAATTGAAGAATAGCCATTTGGGCTGTTGCATCTTGCATAGCAACTCGATCTGGTGAGAGGTTAAGATAACTTGTCCCGCGAACAATGTCCTTTGTTTCAGGATCAGATAGATGGCTATAGAGGATCTTTTCTGAGAGTGTCAACGGTCTTGAGAGCCTAAACTTGGTTAAACTCAAACTACTTATTACGTTTTGTTAACATGTTTAAGCTTGGAGCAGTATTTGTCGTAATCCAAGTTGATAGTGTCAAATCTACTAATGTAAGTAGACGCAAAATGGCCATGATTCGAAGAATTTAGAAGTTTTAAACGTCTTAGTAGGGTTGGCGAAGATAATATTTTTGCAAGAAACATCCTCTCAATAGAAAACTACGAAAACAGAGCTATAAAAACATTTGTTAAATGCGCCGGCGACAAGTTAACCTTTTTGAGCAAGTATAACTTGAATTTACTTCTAGTACCTGATAAAAAATAACCAACTGGGCTAAAATGCATAAAAATTATAATTTTAAATAGCGACAAATAAATTCTATACTTTAAAATCAACTCTAAGTTTCTCGTATTTACCATCAATATTTACCTATTATTTAATTTTCCCGTTCATAGTAATGAACTCTATAGCTGGTATTATTTATTTTTTTGTTCAGTCTGTTTATGCACAAATTAGTCATCTATTTCGTCTCAAATAAAATATAACTTTTTCTTTTTCAATATTCATGTGTTAATGATTTCACGAAACTAATTCAACCAAAGATTTCGCAGCAATAGAATGCTTAAGCTTTTGAAGATTTACATAAACAGTCGTATGAAAGAATTCAATGTGTATTCCAAATCTTAACCAGTATTTTTATTTCATTAATAATTATTTTCTTGTGGCACTTAAAATGGCTACTTAATTGAATGCATGACTCGCAATAACAAAACTGTAACAAATAATCGCCCCCATTGATGCTATTTAAGCTTCTAACTTTCCTTATGGAGATTATTCTTTGCAAGTGACTTTGTCTAAAAGGAGGCGTCATGACGTCTGCCTAATGAAAATCTCTTTATGTCTTCCTTTGTTAAAGTTTTGTTTCTTGCATTTGCCCATCGTAACAGTTGACGATCTCTTGCGTTTCAGACTTGCAGATTGAGCAATGCGCAGCCGAAACATGGCTTTCCTTTTAAAATTACTATGCTGTGATATGCATATTTAAAATTATAACCCCATGGGCTTAATATTACAGACACTAAAATGATTATCTTAAATGATACTTGAAATGATGCAGTGGTTAAAATTTTTGTAATGTTAATGTAACTAATAAACATCGACTTATCAATTGTTTTTTAAAATATTCCCAATTATATTTAATGGCCTGGGGTTTGCGATTGACCTACCTCCAAGTGGTACACCCTAGGCAACTTATACTCATACCACAAAAGTCTATTAACCGACAGATGACTTCAAACTTCCATGACCCCACTGAAATGCACGTTAGACCATTTCCACAGTACTCACCTTTCCCTTTGATCTACCTTTATGTCTGTCCCTTTTACAGCAGTAAATCACTCTTCTGTTCGCCCTCTCGAATTTTCCCACTTTGAAGTTAATCCCCTCAATGAAGCCCGAAGTCAGCTAAAGGGCTATTGATTACTATCAAAACGCTGCTATTTGAATAGTTAATGGTCAAGTTTGGGTATTACTTGTCAGCCATAAGTAATTGACCAATAACCTTAGGAACGACCTATTTTCCAAAAGCTTTCAAACCAAATCGAACCTCGCCAAAAGCTAAGATACTTCTTTACTTATTTTTACCCTCATTGTAACATTTAGTGCACCGTGGTAGAAGAAATTTCGCTAGAAAGTGGTGGTAATATTTACCTACAAAGGACCATTAATACCATTGGCCAAAGCCATTTTGAACCAAAACATCCAAATAATTGAGAGTGCCAAGTAGTATCACTATCGTGACTTTTATTGCGTATAATGCTTTCCCATGTCTATGTACATGTATTTATAGGGAGGCGAGCTTTATAAAAGATAAGGATGCCATAAGTTCGATCTCAGCTTGTTTAAATGCACTGATCTTCCCCACAACTAAACACTAGTGGTCTCGCGCCGCAGTCGAGTTTAAAGAATTCACCGAAGGCCTGGACTGAGTAGCAGCAGAAGAGGTAACTGTGGGACTATTCACAGAACCAGCATTAATACTATTCAAGGTCGATGCTGCCGTGGCACTTCGATATCGCTGTATTTGAGCCAGTACTGCCTGACGCTGTTCGGGTGGAATGCTTTCTGGAGGGAGTTGAATCATTGTTCGCCCATCTGAACCGAGTCTTACGGGAGATCCATCTTCGGTAAAGAGGTTTCCATAGAAACGGAATATTCTCGAAGGAGGAATACGAGGTCTAATTTGTGGATGTGGGGGAGGGTTTGGTCGGGGGATGGGCAGACTTGAGGAAACTGGCCGACGGATAAAGAGTGTACCCCGATTAGTTGAGGGAAGAAGAATTCGAGCTGGTGAAGGGACGATAAAGCTGGGTCGAATTATGGGTCGGACAGGACTTGAGACGACTGTGGGACGTGCTGGTTCCTGTTGTTGAGCAGGGCTGGTGGTGGTCTGTATCTGAGGAGATGGGCATCTGATCGATACAACTGTTCGCTTTTTCTAAAAAAGAACAAAAAACTGTTGAATTACGAAGATGAATGTAAACGAATGAGCATTGGCTTTGCTTAACATTGACATTCAGAGCAATTCCTTAATTCAACTGAGCTTAATGCACATAAATTTATCTGTTGAAAGTTGTTTCTGATCTCCTTTCCCAGAGAACAATTTGAACAAATCGACTTATACCCACGGCAATTTATCGCCGCCGCAAGGCATATATTATGAGTTAAGAGAAGAGAGTCCAAAAACATCAGAAATTAAAGTCATTCCATTTTAGGATTTTGTTTATAAGATTTCCACAATATATTTTTTTTAAATTAGAGAACTGCCCCTAATTTTCTCATTAACTTCATGAAAGTGGGGCGCTGAGATTGTTAAGGCGGTTGGTCAGTCCCGGGAGACGTTTCCAAACTGCCATCAGAATGCAAAGAATAACAAAAAAACTCATTAACATTACCTCAACAACGGGTGGTGGTTTCAACCGAAATTCAATGTCCTTTCGAAGGAGCATTCCAGCAGTTCGTTCGGTTGTAAGTCGCTCATCTTGATTTGAATTTACCTCCTCCTTCATCTTAGTCAATAATTTGTCTAGCTCCGAGAGGGAATTAACAGCCTGTTCGTAAATTTCAACAAGACGTGATTGCGGAGAGGACTTCTTTTCACCCACAATTGTTTCCTCTTCAACATTGTCGACAACTTGATTTGCAGCCGCACTTCTGCGAGCCTTCTTTCTTTGGGATTGAAGAGTCTGAAGAGAAGATCAGACCGATACAACACATATAAAAGCGCTTCAAATGGAGTTACAGCCTGTGACCACCTATTACAAACAAACCCGCTTTTCAATTTCCTATGGTTAACTCACATAGAGTGAGTAAAGGATCCACAGAGAACCCACCTCTTTGTGATTGCTTGAATTTAATTGCATTACTGCAATATAGCTGAATTGACGGTACCTAACTGATTGCTCAAACATCTAAAGACTCAAATTTTTTAAGTACTACCTGTGTTCTCTAACCCATAAGCGACTTTGGAGTCCTCAAACAACAAAAAATGAAAATAAGGCTGAAACATGTTAAGCAACATAATTTTAGTCTTTAATCATTACTACGGGGTGTGCGGTAGACTTACCTCCACGTGCTGCACCCTGGCCAACGTATACTTATACGCAAAAAAGATTATTAACCGACAATTGACCTCTGACTCCAAACTACCATCACACCACTGTATGTCATATTCGATCACCTTACCTTTTCTCTGCCTTGGTGTCAGTCTGTCTGTCTGTCTCTTTTATATCTGTAAATCATTATTCTGTCCCCGTTTTCGACTTTTTGTCACTTTAATGTTTCCCCTCCTCTCTGTGAAGCCCAAATTCAGCTAAAGGGCTAAGGATAACTATCAAAACGCCTGCCTCTTGAAATAAATTAATTAATCATTACTATCGATTGTCACCACTAAAAGCGTAAAACCCCGCGAAAACTAAAGTGTGATGCTGGAAAAGGACAAAAGCATTTGTACTCTCACCAGGAGCACTGTCACTCAGAGGCAATAACCAAGGCCTTTCGCTCCCCAATTCCCAAATACTTTAAACATCAAACGAAGAATTTAGAAGAAATTAATAGAAACTAATTAAATCTGCCATTAAATTAATTCCATCATATAACCCAGATAACCACAAGTAACAATAAACACAAAGATGTGATACGACGTATTTCGTCTGCATATGTGCAGAAAAAAAACACAAGATGGAAGAATTTAATCACTGAATGCCAATTGCTTGAATCCCAATCCTAATACGTTACAAATACCATAATTTGAAGTTAGGATTTTAGAGAAAAACTTACCAAAGGTGCAGTATTACGCCTTTTTCTAGTATTTTTAGGCTCTTTGATTTCAGGAGCCACTGAGATTAACTCATTGAACTCATCCTCTTCCTTCTTTACAGTATTCTCTAAACCATCCAATAAATTCATAAGCTCCCGATCCGTCTTGATACTATTGCAGTAAAGAACATCTCCCAACTCCGAGGTAAAACGATCGACAATCTTTCGAAGAGGATTTGACAAGGGGACCGCTGGGGTAGAACCACTAGCATCGATTTGGAATTTCTGCTCTGTGTCGACCTCAAGTTTTGGGTCCTGATCATCCTGGATTTTACACTTCTCAATTAACGCCTCCAACAAATGGCGAGCAGTGCTCAGCCGATGGGTAACTTCCTCAGTGAATTTCTCGAGGGAATCAAAGTCAAACACCACGGTTTCAAAGAGAGAATTCTCTTTATCAATTTCAACCTCGGTGGCTTTGATAATCTGCGGAGAAATAAAAATTAGTGTAGATGGTTGTAAAATACCAGACATAGGAAGACGAGACACCAAGCGCACTAAAGGCCATGAAAGAAGTGGTTCAGATTTTGTAGAACTACCTTCCCACTACTTTTCACAGACATCAAACCCTTAAATACTCTACGAAGGTCAATTTATTTAGGACTACTTTGCTGTAGTCAAGAAGAGCTTTCTAGACTGATTCTTCAAGGCAATGCACTGAGCATTCTGATCTAAGAGACCAACAGAATAAACTGATAAAAATTCCACTATGGGTTCTCTAATTACAAAGATTATCCAATTAGTAAAATGCACACTTATGCAGAAGGTAAACTCACCATATTATATATTTCTTTCGCTCTGTCCATCTCCGCTTTCAACTCTACCTTACCCTCTTGACCCTCAGGCTGCTCAGTAGCGTTTTTATAGTCATCGGTCTCAGTTTGTTCCATCAAATCATCCGTCTTCTTTATAAGTTCATTTTCAGCCGCTTTCGCCTCCTCATCCATAACGGGAATGGCATCTTGAGAACAAGAGAGTGCTTCAGTGGAGGGAGAACACGGTGGTTGAACCTCACTATTTTCACTCTCCAGAGTGTCTGGTTGGAAATTGACATCACTGTTATTGCTACTAGGTTGGAAATTTGAATTATCATCTTCTTCTTGGGAAAAGGATGGAGGAGGATTAGGTGTGGGCGCCTCAGAAATGTTGGTAGCAGTTGTGTTGGCAATTGATTCCGCTAGAGAGGCAGTACTTTCAACTGGGCGCATGGATGACTTGGACATGTAGTTGGCTGCAAACAAAGGAGTAGAAAAGTGCTAGTCTAGTTGAAACATCGAATTTGAATATTTCATAACATTTCTAAAATTTCCCAAGGCCGTTTATCCAGTTGTTCGTAATACTTGACTCAAGTAAATGTAAGCTGGAACTACCTTCTGCTCCTCCAATTGATGCACGAATGAACACCAATATCAAGATGTTTGGCTTGGCAGACGTTCACTTTGACTTCTTCAATACCAGCGAACAAGTTTTCTATATTTGAATTTCTCAAAATAATTCAGAGCATTCGTCTTGTCTCCTAAGTTTGAGACATAGAATTTGTCCTAGGATATTTGCTGTAGTTGTGAGATGCCTGTTACATCTATGTAAAGTAAAAAGTCATCTTTTGCACTAAACCGAGAAGACATAAAAAACTTAATTTCACATCCTCTACAATTGAGTAGTTTGAGGCTGGCCACTGAAGGCCATCCAATGGTTGAGTAATTAAATAGGGTTTAGCAATTACAGGCGGACATTCCAATTAGAAGTGGGAAGTGATGATAGTGACATGCACAAACCATATAATAGGAAGAGCTTGGTCCAAGGATTTCGTTTGAAAATTTTGAAAACACGGACTAACAAATATGCTTCAAGTCTAAACAGTTCTAATAATTGGCACAATTCAGCATTCAGGGACCACTGAGTGAAAGGAATTAGTCAAGAGACATATCTGAGATGAACTTAACCTAACGCCAGTAAGTTCAATTTCATCATGCAAAACGTACGAAGGAAATGACATTAAAGCGGTCAACATCAGTGTTTAGGCTCGAGCAGTTGCCTATGAAGATGGTAACACTTGAATGAATGCACTCTTTAAGTCCATAAATTGGAGTGGATTTACAACCATCTCTGCACTATTATTCTACCTATTCAGGTGACTTGATAAATAGCATAAATCTCATGTTTAGTGAAAAAGGTGCCTGTGTTTGGCAGAAGCAGCGTCTTGGGGTCAAATTGATGAGAAACTAGCATTCCGTCACTAAATGTGCGAATCGACAAATTTCGAACTCGATACCTTCAACTTCGCAGATGTGTTTCGTGTTCATTACTTCAAGGATGGAGATACATCAGATCTCCATCATTAAGTTTAACGCTTTAATGCATGAAGCTGTATGTAAATTAACTATACGACTTACATGGTCTAGCATAAGTAACCGAAGTAGGGACCACTCCACAAGTCAGTTTATCTACAAACGTGAATCCAGAAAGCTGAATATCCTGAACGGTTCCATTCAAGAAAGTTGGAGGTAGAGAAGACTTTCTACTCTTCGATTTGGACTTAGTTGACTTGTTCCTGATACCAGTTTTTGGATCAACGGGTTTAAAGTACAATAGCACCTGATTTAGATGGTTCATTTTCTGTTTGTCTTTCTTCGCATTTTTGCTATTCTTATCAGTATTTACAATACGATTCGACAAAACTGCAATCTCCTTTTCTACAAGATTCAGCACGTGAGAGATGACACCTTGTGCGAGTTCTTTATCCATCCATGAAGGAAGACGATAGACGGGCGTGGGAAGAGCGTAGAGGTCAGTATCGATTGTCAAAGCAGGCAAAAAATTGGAAGGTACTGGGGTAATGGCATCATAATCCGGCGTGGGATATCGGTAATGGAAGACTCGAGGTGACTCCGATGACAACATTTGTGGGAAATGCATGTACGTTATGCCCCGGAATGGATCGATACCGAGAACAGTAGGATTGCAAACATTCCAATCGTCAGCTTTATCAATCGAGAAGCGTAAGTTCTCTGAGAAGCAAAGACTCCCATTAGATAGCTGTAAAACAAAATAAAATGAGTAAATCGAAGCTAAACGAATTGAGAGAAGGAAATTAAAAAGATGACCTACCAAGAGTGACGATGTTAATGCAAGAAGAATATTAACTTGTTGAAGAAGAGTTAATTGATGGAAGCGTTTCTCCTTAAGGGGGTTTACTTCCTTGCCACAGACTTCAAAGAATGCAAACGAAATCCCGTATCGTCTCTCAGACTAAAATTATTGAATAACAATCGAATTTTACTTAAATCAGCCGTGTGCAATTGATACAGAGGTTAAAATTCCTCACTAAATTAAGTCACAAATCGGTCAATCGCATCGTCAGACTTTCCCAAGAAGTTGACTCTTTGATTGTGTGTTGTAGAAAGCCTTTGTAAATGAGTTTGGAACTAGCAAAAGATCCCATTTTATATAAATCTACAAGTTCTAGCTTAAGAAGTTTTAAGGTCTCCTTCCTAGATCACCTCGATATCGTCTTAGCATACGTGTAATCTGTTTCTGTACTTATATATGCACAATTTGCGTGATTGTTCCAAGTATCTTTATATACTTAGACAATTACAGAAGCTACTACAAATCGACAGGAACTTACGGCCGTAACTACCAATGGCACCAATTTGTTCATGTCTAAATTCACAGCTGAATTTCTGGGTTTTAACTGTTCAAACTCTTCTGTTAACTAAATCTGTAAACATTCAGATGTAGTATTTATCATGACTTGACTCAATCACATTTTCAATCGAATGCTTTCTTTACAAGGCCAGCCGATCAACTTCTCCGGCCAGATCATCTCTAACTGCAACTTCGCATAACAACGTCTATCTCTAACACTTCACCTTTTAAAGACTTCTACCTAAGAGAAACAAATCGCACTTATTTTAAGTACATCGTCAACTTACCCTAGTTGGCTCCTCAAGTCGTTTTTCCAACGATAAATCTTCATAAATTTGATCCAACCATGCTGATAACCGCCGTTCCCAAGTCTCGTAGGTGGGAACAGCCAATTCCTTGAGAGTGTTTACATGGGAATTGAGAATTCGCCTATTTGGAGGAACGCGAACCTTCTCTCCCATACCCGAACTTGGAATGGCTTCATCTGAATCTGAAAGATCGTCGAATACCTCCGACTTCGCACTACCGTTTCCATTCATCTGAAAAAGAAGGCACTTTTTTAAAAAAAATGTTTGATGTGCATATTTTATGCTTTGAAATCTTAGAGGTAGTATGATTTACTAAATTCATCGAACATTAATTTGAGCTAACAGGTTCTAATGAGCACAAGCAGTAACAAGATCCCGAGCATAACTAGATTTTGGCGAGAACAATCCAAGGCAATTTTAAAATCTAATTTTATGAACTGTGAAACACAGTCTCTACAACAGTGTGTACTAAAAACAATAAAAGACGTCCTTTAAACTCAGGCAAGATATAGTAAGAGCGCTTCTCATCTATGTTCCAAGCTTATAAGAAGAAACACGCCCAGTTTAAAACAATACTGGCGAATAATCCTACAAAAAATTCAGAGAAAAAGAAAATACGACATATGGTATAGAAGTAAGGGGAAAGCCACAGATATGGTAGATCAACCTTCGCTCTCTCCTTAAGTACCTTACAATATATATTTGCGACAGTTCTGTGAAATACACGACATGTTTTGTACCTAGAGGTGACGAATTCAAACTCCTAACCTGAGGTGAATTGAGGGTGAGAATGTAGTAGTTCTAAGAGTGAGATTTAGCAAACACTACTTCAAGTACTGAGTTAACGTAAATAACAGAGATATTCATAACCATTTTATGATAAAATGGTACAATCTTCTGAAAGAGACATAACGGACAAAAGCATACCCCATTAGCTGGCTTCGTGTCTTCTGAATGCACTTTCAGGGCTTTAATCGCTTCCTCGACCATTTCACGCTGTCTCGGGGTGTTTATGAGGGCAGAGATAGCCCCAGAGAGGCAAATAGAGGCCTGTGGAGCACCTGCAAGAGCATATTCCAATTCAGCCAAACAGAAAGTTCGGTTTGACGTTATTGACTTTGAAGAGAAAGGGATAAGAGCACTATCAACACTACCATCCCCACTAGTAAACACATTGTGAGCATTGTGATAGAGCACAGTTCCTGCACACATTGCATCACTAATTCCAATAAAGGGATCAAGAAGCCAAAGATGCTGATAGACTTCGAGAAATTGTGGGCATTTTCGGAGAGAATCGAGTTTTTCCTTGGCTTCAGTGTTAGCCGACCACCAGTCCTTGAAACTAGAGATCAACTCAGCCTCATGTTGTTTGACACGCCATTCTGTTAGTCTGGCGACAAGGAGAGCGAAACTGTTTGAGCTATTCACTGGAGTATCCGGAGCAGATTCATAGAGTACAGCAATAGCTGGGGTGGGAGTAGATGAGGAAAAGCCGCTAGTAAAATCTGGAAGATCTAGAGCGTGCTCAATCTCCTCCATTAGAGCACGAACAGGGCAAATTTGAGAATCCAAACCACTGCCATAATGCCTCAATGTAGCCCTACGGCGAATGGTACCTATTAAATGGAAAATATGTCTGCTTATAATAATTCAGTAGGTATAGTGGCAAAAGCTGGGTAAGTAAACTAACCACTGTCACTATCTACTTTCGGGTCTTCGATGCCTAAGCAAGCCCTCATGGTGGTTTTTGCCCGCAAATCACACGGAAGGAGTTGAAGCTTCTGTTCAAAGAGAGTTTCCAGCTTTTCTGCCATTCGACCGAGCTTTGTGTTGACTCCGTTGAAGCGAAAACAATTGGCAATCATTAGTCGGAAATCACAGACAAATTCGCGAATGCCAGGGTACTTGTCACGCTGCAAATTGCTGTCTATTAACTTTAGCCAGACGGGATAACGTATCATCTCATCATAGGAGGGCATGTCAATAATTGTGCCATTGATACGATTCATGAAAATAAGAGTGATATTTGAATTATTGGACATTATCTGAGTGAGGATGTGATTGGCCGCCTCCAATTCCTTATTTACAGAGAATGAAGAGTTGTTGTAGGCCATGGCTACCTAAAGAAATATGAAGTTCCCTCAAGTTCAAATCAAGTGTCAACTTAATAATAAGGTGCAAAACAAAGTGAATTCATAAAGTTACGGAAATCAAATCAAAGACCACTAAACTAAAAATTAAGAACGCACCTAAATTATGCATGGAAATCAATTAAGCAATATTCATTGTTGGACTAAGAATAGAAACGGATTTTAACAAAACGGCGCTAATGATGAAAATCAAAACCTGCTTAAAAAGGAAATCTGCATTAGATGCAGAAAAACTGAGTGAATTGCGGTTCATGACCAATTTCTGCAATGAGGCAGAGCGTGAATATGAATAAGAGCGACACTGCAATGAAGGACAGCATAAACAATAATTTAATTCTGAGGGGGTGAAATAGATCATCGATTTGTCAAATCAGCCCAAACTGAAATTGATTAAACCAATGTAATCAAAACTAATCTAAAAGACAGAAGAAACTAAAGAACACGAGCCTAAACAAGATAAAGACAATAAATTGGGTGTTTGAGTTCAAAACCGAACAGCGATAGCAAAGAACGACTTCAGTAATGAATGGTTCGATAGATTCAACCTTCACGCAAGTAAAATAAGAAAACAAAAAGGAGACTTATAAACAGCCTTACACTTGAAAGCACGGAGGCAAAGATATCCGGATTTGATAAAACAATATCAACTAGTGCAACCAAGACCTCCGGAAATGTGTTAAAAGAAATGCAATGCATAAAAATAAACGTGAAACAAATTAAAATAACTTGTTATAAAGGCGAGACTTAAAAATAGCATAGGGAAGAAAATGAATAAGTTCATAAAAGGAGTTAAAATTAAATTTATAAAGAACAGATTTGTATTCATAGTTATTTTAAACTTTAATAAAAATAATTTATAGTAAATATTTTGGCGTAGAAAATATAGCCAATTAACAAGAATAGCCAAATATCACGTAACCAAATGTTTTAAAACAGAAAATGAAAAAAACAACCTTGTGTTAAATAATTCAATTCATCACTACAGCCCTTAAGTTGTCAAATGACAGAAGAAACTGACTTCAAAACAGAAGAGTTACCTTCGAATCTTCAGAACCAAAGAATGAGCAATTAAACGGATACAAACAAATGGGTAAGTGACACCGTTAGGGTTTCGGTTTGATATCAGGGCTTAAAAATAGAAAATATAAATACTTGATTTAAAATGCATGCTTTTTTTGAATTTTTTATACTTTTAAATTTATTATTTTGTAAACCATTTGCTTGAGGGTCGTAGTCATATTCATGCATTTGGTTTATTCATATTGAAAAAAACATTTCAAAATTATCTTTTAAAGATGAGTGTTGTAAATTTATTTGAGTTCATATAATTCTGTCCCATTTTCTTTCTTTAGTTGGCTCACAATACACATGAAAATTATATTATGCTTCTCTCCTAAACCCTATATTTTACCATTGTACTGTCAGTTAGTGACTAAATAATTTCATGACTAATTGTCACTTTAAAATACGGTTTTCTTACACCCATGGCAAACCACTGGGTGTCCATTTCTGTTCAACAGTTTTTTAAGATACTACGTAAACATGTTTGTTTTGCAATACTCACAATGGATATATAGGTACATATCGATTCTAAATCAGCCTCGTATTTTGAGGAAAATATCTGATCATAAAGCAGGTCACTTCTATTAGATCTAATGTCATTTTTCGAATCCTTTACAGAATTTCATTTGTTTAAAACTTAAACAGCATTTCCATTGGATTGGGCTACATAAACGGAAAACCTTTTCCCCCTTTATAAGATTTTATTAGGCTTATAAAGAAACCTCGAGGTTTCTGCACATCTACCTTGACTTTTTCACCCACTGAGTCTGACTGAACTGTGGTCTAATGACATATCGAAGCCGAACTCCCTTATTTGCGAACACTTTTTCGACATTAGAGAACGTATCTTACAAAATTGGGTAGTAAATGAGTTTAAAAGGTGGCTTAATTCTGGTTACACCATGTAAATATTTTGATCATCCCTAATTCGTATGCAGGCTTGGACAAGTTCTCCATGAACCAATAATTGTGATATATATTTTTTTCATTGTAATATTTATTGTATTATTTTAATATAATGCCGTTGTTCGCATTTATTTACCCACAGGGCGATTAATTTTTTTCAAATGGCAGACTTTATGATAGTTATCATTAGCCCTTTAGTTGACTTCAGAATTCGTAGAGGGGGGGGGGACATTAACTTTTGAAAAATTTGAGAGGAGGGAACAGAAGGGTGATTCACAGATTTAAAAAGAACAGAACAGGGTAAGATGAGTACTGTATCAGGAATCGAATATGACTTGCGGTACGCCATAATAGCTTGGTGTCAGAAATCAACTGCCGGTTCATAGACTTTTTTGCCGTATGAGTATACGTTGCCCAGGGTGCGCCACGTGGAGGTAAGTCTATCGCACCCCAAAATCCCTCTTTCTACTATATTATGCATAAGCGTGATAGCATACTCTCAACAAATCACATGTTCAGCCTTCACTAAACGAACTTTTAATGAATTCAGTACGCCAGGACGTCACAACGGGATACNCACACAAACAGTGACCAATCATTAACCTGTTTAACCTAATCCCCCATCCTGATCATGAGTAGCTCCCTGCGTGTACACTTTATCCGTAATATACCCACTGAATAAACGTGCTCCGTGCTACACGTCTGTTTCCTTTATAGCTGGGTTATAGCTTAGCTGGTTCTGGGAGTCTAGCTAGATGTTGGAGAATCCGCCATAGAGATTTCTGAGTCAGTCAGGCTTTACTAAGGTAGCGATCCGCTACAGACTCACGATTTAGCCCATGCCATAATAATAATTTAGGTAACGAACGATGAATTGGCCTTGTGGTGGAATTAAATCTTTTTCATGTAAAATTCAATTAGAATAACAATTTTTATAAATTTATTTTCATAAAACAACATTTTAGGCTCAGAAACTCACGGGTTTGCTTAAACTAGTGCGTTTTAATGTCTAAATGATATTAAAAAGCTTTAATGACAATTTAAGCTGGACATGACAATTCATTCCAAAGGTGATTTGCCTTGATTGGGGAGAAAATTGTTCAATAGCACCAAAGACGTCAAATAAAACAAAATAAAAGGCTCATAAAAATACTTCGAGAAGACCAAAACCTTAAATCCTGTTCTAGCCGGCCCACGAAATGTCAGTGGCTAACATGTTGGATGCATATGGAAAATCCCGATGCAAGTGTTCAAATAAGAAGACCTTGTGTTTCAGCTACTATGAAGTGGTACTGAGTTAATTCAACCTGAACTTACTTGAATTTATTGACTCTATCTAATCAGAGTATTTTTTTAAGAAACAAACAAAATAAAACCCCCTTCTTCAATAGAAATTGGGATTGAAGAAGTTATGTTTCTAGCCCGCAATCTGATGACAATAGTGTTTTATATCGTTTGGAACAATCTTAATGAAACCTTAAATGTTTGATTCTTTTGAAAGCCAATCACATTTTGTAACGCTCATTAACAATTTTCACTCACAGATCGTGCATTCTAGGTAAGTTACCATTTATAAATGGAGGTCAAACGCTCAAATCCGGTCTTGAATAAGAAGTAATAGATATTTATTAGGGATAAAATTGCCTATAAATTTGTTGTAACAATAGTTGTCTTGTAACTTGAAATATAAGTTAAACTTGATTAAACGAACCTGCAAGTTCGACAGAAAATACTTAGTTATTCTCCTGGGATTTAAAATTTTTGAAGCCGAAAAAATGAGATCAATAGTTAGATCATTTTTCCTTACTGTATTGGCGGATTAAAGTTAAATAAAGTTACAATTTTTATTTCAAACGGCAGGCGTTTTGATATTTATCATTAGCCCTTTAGTTGACCTCAGGCTTCACAGAGGGGAAGGAACATCTAAGTGAAAAGAGTCAGAATTCGTAGAGGGGGGGGGGACATTAACTTTTGAAAAATTTGAGAGGAGGGAACAGAAGGGTGATTCACAGATTTAAAAAGAACAGAACAGGGTAAGATGAGTACTGTATCAGGAATCGAATATGACTTGCGGTACGCCATAATAGCTTGGTGTCAGAAATCAACTGCCGGTTCATAGACTTTTTTGCCG